CACGGAAGCCTGTTAAGCGAAAGCTTCTTCTATTCAGTCCACAACCATTTGAACACATGAACTAGGTGCTGAGAGGCTCGCTTATCACAAGTTTCTTGCAACGATTAAGTAGATAAAACAAAGTAGCATTAGATTCAAAAATTTATTCAAGAACTTTCATTAAGAATCGAATATCAAACAAAGGTTTAAACCAAGTTCCCGTTTAAAAGTTGTATTGGTAATGTTAAGCTGCAGTTTTTGTTGTTTTTTTCCAAACGAAAGAGTAAAAGAAGTCAAAAAATACTGGAAGTGGTTGTGAGACTAAAATGGAAGTCCAGCATCCTTTTTATAATCTGCTATTCGTTGGATCTCCCGTAAACAGTTCCATAGGGCCATAGTTCCAAGGGCGAAACAGTTTTTAGGGTCTGTGAAGGCTCACTCCTGTTGCATTCTAAATGAAAAAAATAGTGATGAATTTAGTCAGAAATGTGGAATATATAAATAACCAAATCACATGTTTTTTAGCAAAGAATTTATGCAGTTGTGATTTACCTTGAGTTCATCAATATTAGATAAGGTCAGCTACTATTACTTGCGCAAAGCATAACATGGGCTTAGTACCGTATTGCAATGTTTTTATTATATTGCTCCCATTTAAGTATTCCCATGCATCTGTGTCTAGTTTAACAGGACAACATACAAGCAGAGTAAGTGTCTGATAAACTAAAAGTCCCAGTTGTCAAAAAGATTCTTAACATTTGTTCACAGCCAGCTGCATTTAATTGAGACACAGAACACTCATCTTCTAAGACTGTATACTGCTGTCTTGCGGGAAACTAAAAGCTCAGACACTTAGCTATCTTGCTACCGATGTTATTGCTGGGGAAATTGTTTAATGACAGTGATCATGAAATATGGTCAGTGATAGATGTACAGTTTAGAAATAAACACCAAACATACTTATCGCTATCTTATAATGTATGACAGCAACAGCATCAAAGGCACGTTTTTTCCTATTTTTAACCAGACTGATCTGAATTCGTATACACATTGGAAACAGGCAACTCTACTTACTAAACTGATCTGTTTCGTTACAGGCTTCAAGCACTATACTTAAGTATATCATAATTCTTTCAACTAAACTGAATTATACGACAACCAAGAACACTAAACTAAGCAAGTGTCATAGTTATTGTTTCACTTGCAAAGCCATGTTACTCAAAGTAGTTAAATGGACATAATTAAGCCGATAAAACCAAAACAGGAAATATAGACCAGTTGAACATACCTAAGAAAAAAAAAGAAGGATACATATATATTGCTTTCATACTGAAGACAACAGGCAGTTGTTCATAGGAACATAGTTTACAGTACAACAAACCTTTCTTCAGTAAAATCATACACTGACAGTCTATCTGGAAACAATCAACTATGTGAATAAACTCACTATGACTTGAGATATCATCCCAGCGTGCAATGGACATACAGTGTAACGCAGTCGGACGTGGCAAATAAAAATTAAAAACAGATCAAAATTACCTACATATTCTGGTTATTTAATTAAAAATACATTATGAAATGGCAAAATCTGTGGTTACTTGAACGAACAAACGACAGTGTGCGATACATTAAGTTTACATGGTTGCGTTGCGGATAAGATCACCCCTGTTTTTCTGTCGTTGTGAAACAAAGACATGCCGGGCATTGCTAGCTCCTGATCCGTTAATTGGAAAGATATCCATGTTTCAGATATTACTATCAGATGAGTGTTATTAGCACTACTGAGTTCACGCTGCTCATCCATTTTATTCGACAAACTCGCGGCGTTCATGGATAAAAAGTTTATGCTTTCAATTTGAAGCACATAAGATTCCCCACCCTGTTCATCTGTATGATTCTTATATAAATGAGCAGGTAACCTACCTAGACAGGGTTTTCCAAGTTAGTAGCTCCTGTTCTTTCGTCGTTTTTTATGATCTACAATTGGAATGGTAACCTGCAATTTGTTTTTTTGCATGATCCTGACATAATGTGGCTTATCGCGATGCATATGGATTCCAGTCGACAACTGGAGTCTGTTGGCACAAAATGGTTCGAGAGTTACAGTCGCCCCGTGGAAGGATGGAAAAGTTCTCTTCATTAGCCGGGTCTAGAACCCCAGTTCTTCTTAGCTTGACTTAAGTCAAACCTGGACAAGGAAAACTAAGCGAATTATTTAACATATAAGTGATTTAAGTTTCTGAAAATGACGACCTGTTCCACGTAACACTACATTTCTGCTCCGTGTAGAATGTAAAAGTTTATACTAGCTGATAATACTCATTCAAATATCCGGAGGTGCAGTACAGTTTGTTTAAAAGCCTCATACAGACAAACAGGACGAAGCTCACGCGTTCCAAATTGAAGGCATAAACTGCTTATATATGAACGCCGCGAGTCTATTAAAAGAATTGAATAAATTACGTGAACTTAGCAATGGTAGCAATGATAGGAATATCTGAAATCTGGATATCTTCTCTGTTCTCGGATCAAGAGTTAGCGTTACCTGGGATGTCCTTGTTTCGCAACGACAGAAAATCAGGAATTGGGGGCGGAGTAGCCGTATACATACGTTCTTGCTTGGATGTGTACCAAGTTCATAACCTCGAGTTTAACAATTTTGAGGAATCCATATGGTGCCCTGTACTTCGAGGTGTCTAGTCGGAGTCATTTACAGGAAGCCAGCTGCCGACATCGGGTATCATAGTCGTATGCTGGAAGGACTATCCCGCACTACTCGCCTAGGTTTCACACACATCCTGCTTCTAGGGGACTTTAATCTTCCTCGCTCTCTCTAGGAATAATACGAAAACCTGAGGTCGGCAACTCGTTGGAGAAACAGTCAGACACCATCGCACTTAGACTGTGTATTCACAAACGAAGAATTCCTAGTAGACAACCTCTCAATCCTGGCTCCGCGGGAAAAAAGCGATCATGCCGTCATAGCCTTCAGTTTTGTCAGCAAAACTAAGCTAAGGTATCCCACCAATAACTTGCGTTGGAATTTTAAACGTTTGAATGTGCCAGCTCTACACGACTATATACAACAGGTGGTTTGGGATATTCACCCTCAACTCGATGTGGACGGTCATTGAGACTTCTTACTGCACACGCTCTTATGTACTACAAACCATTCAGTTCCTCAAACGGTTCCCAAAAGCTGCAAGCCACCTACAATAATCAAGAGTCGTACCCTTCGCGGGCTAAGCCGCAAAAGGCACTGTTGGGTGGAATACAAACGTACTGACAACAACGGAGCGTACAGGCAATACAAACATATAAGGAACATATACACGAAGGCTATAAGAGAAGATAGGCTTCAGTACCAGACAAAGCTTATGGACAGATTTGCCCCCAATCCGAAAAGCTTATTCCGTTACGCAGCCTCTTTTCGTCAAGCTAAAACTGGAGTTTCCCAACTGCTAGGTCTGAATGGCCCGACCAACGACGACGGCGACGCCACTAAACTTTTGACCGAACAATACTCTCGGACATTTCAACCAACCAACATCAACTATACTGGTGAAAGCTTCATCTGCAACTCCGAAGGTCTTTCCTAAATGAACCTGAGCTCTGACTTCGTGTTCCAGAAACTGCAGCACTTAAGAATAGACACTTCTCCTGGCCCAGATATTGTCCATGGATGGACAAGCATCCTCGATCACAAGGGAAAGATTGATATCATCTACTTAGATTTCTCAAAAGCTTTTGATAGGGTTAACCATTTATGTCTTATCAATAAGCTTAAACGAATAGGTATCAGACCACCTCTAATCGATTGGCCTACTTCATACCTGAAAAATCAACACTTTAAGGTTGGGGTTAATCTCACTTTATCTCAGGCTATGGAATGTCCTAGTGGGGTCCCCCAGGGCTCAGTACTAGGACCTCTTCTATTCTTGATCTACACAGATGATCTTCTTCAACAGGTAACGTCAGAATTATTACTCTTTGCTGATGATGTTAAACTTTTGAGAGAGATACGCAATCAAGACCATATACAGGCACTTCAGGAGGATCTGACTCCACTCCAAAGTTGGGCAGATAATAATGGACTTACCTTTAACACTTCAAAGTGTAAAGTAGTTCATCTGCGACATGTCGCAGACTACAGTTATAACTTAGGAAACTCCTCTCTAGTAGTATCCCAAGTAGAAAAAGATTCCGTAGTCCTGGTGCCCCATGATTTAAAGTCTTACGCCAACTGTGACAAAAATGCCATCCGAGCAAACCTTGCACTGGTAACATTGAAGCGCATTTTTGGCCAGTTTGATGGAAGAAATTTCCATATAATCTTCGATGGTTTTATCCGTCCCCATTTAGAGTACGGAAACATAGTATCTCCTCCCACACTCCAAAAGGATATGGACACCCTGGAGCGTATCCAACGGCGAGCCACGAAATCAGTTCGAGGACTCAAATTTAAACTTTACGAAGAGCGCCTTCATTCACTTGACCTTTACCCACTAGAGTACAGGCGTCTTAGAGGTGACCTGCTGATGGCTTATAGTATTCTTAACACTTCTGGACATCCTCTCAAACACCTACTTAAGCTTAGTTCCAACAATAACCTAAGGGGTAACACCCAGAAACTGGAGACACAACATAGCAACTTTACTTCTACTCATTAGGAGTTGTCAAATGCTGGAATTCGCTGCCGGTCGAGCTAGTCCAAGCGACTTCCCAGGAGTCCTTCAAGAGGCAACTTGACCTATTCATAAGGACCAAGGACAGCATCATATTATGATTTACCGATTTCTTTTTCCTCTTTTATTTTTAATATACTTGGGTTACTGCCTGAAGGATTTGGTGATCCCCTGCTACTAGACACGGAGGCCTGTGAAGCGAAAGCTTCTATTCCGTCCACAACTATTTGAACCGTTTGAATTCGTTGTTTAAACGCTTCGGTCACTGTGCCTCGTAAGTCGTATGTACAAAGGTGATTTCGCTATGTCTGTTGGATTTTAACTAATATGATATAAATGGAAAAATACGAAAATCTAGGGCTAGTTGGAGAAGGAAGTTATGGAATGGTTATCAAGTGTAAAAATAAACAGTCTGGAAGGATTGTGGCGATTAAAAAATTTATTGACAGCGAAGATGATAAACATGTTAAAAAAATAGCACTTCGTGAAATAAGAATGTTGAAAGTAAATCGTTTTACGAAATAGTATTTTTAGCAACTTCGTCATGATAACTTGGTAAACCTTTTGGAAGTTTTTCGACGAAAGAAACGTCTATATCTTGTTTTTGAATTTGTGGATAATACTATATTAGATGACCTAGAAAAACACCCTAATGGAATTGACGAAATGCGCACAAAACGCACTTTATTTCAAGTCATTCGAGGTGTGGAATTTTGTCATCTACACAATGTAAGTTAACAGTATCACCTTATCAATTCAATGATGACAAACATCATAAGACTATTTTTTCAATGATCTTTTAGTGCTAAAAACTCAAAACACAATGTTTTAGCTGTAAAACTATCTTTAAAGCTAGGAGTTATGAGTGAAACATTTTGCTTGTGCTATTGGTACGGAACAAAATGTCCAATATATTAAGAAAAACATTATCGCACTACATTTGCTAATCAAAGTTAAGAAGTCTTCAGACTTTTATTGCCTTTGCAATGAAATCCTTAACTTCATAACTATCCTAGACGCAGTCGCGCCTGTAATTACCACCTCGACGTATTCTTAAATCTTTATTTCATTGCATCCCAAAAGTAACATTTTTGTATTAAGCTGATTTCGACAAACACTTTATCTATTATAGGTACATATTAACTAACGACTTTTTAAGCAACAGAAAATTCCTCTTAAAACCCTGTACTTTGAAATAACCGAGCACCTCGTACAATTTATACAGAATGTATTGAACATTATAAATCCACCTGCTACGAAGCGTAGAATATTGAAATAGTCAGTTAGAATTCGTAACAGAAAAGTGATTTCTATAATATGAGACAAAAACCTATGTATTTTTCATGTGGAGGAAACTCAGCATGCCCAGAGTTTATGACGTGAAGGCAATTGTGCAGCACTATTTTACATGCAACTCTTCTTAATCATATTTGCATCACTGAAAGATTCAGGTCAGTGGGAGACACAGGAATAAAGAGGAAGGCTGACATAGCTTTAGATCTCCAACTGATTGTTATAAAATTGAAACTGAAGCTAAAGAAGCACTGGACAACTAGAAGAACAACATAATAAAGATTTAATACAACCTTCCTTGAAGATACTGACAAACTCAACAGATTCAAGATGGCTCTAAGCAACAAGTTCCAATTCCTACAAGACCTACTCGAAGTAAAAACTACTATAGCGAACATTCAGAAAAAGACCAAAAACGCGCTAACTTTAGCGCGCCGGTAGGCTTCGGGCTGCAAGAAGCAACGTAATAAGTAATGGATCTCTCTACAAACCCTGGGCAAGATTCAAGAAAGGACCAAGACAAAGGTATGAGCATCATTCGTAAATTCCAAAATATTATGAGAGGATTACGGATAATGAATCCAAAAACTCAGTTTTAGTGTGCGAAATTCATCTGTGAAGTCTTACAGAATTAAAGTTATGTTTCATCGTTATACGACTTGTTAAAAAGCTTACGGTCGGCAGAATTTTTCAAATTCGTCAAATTAAAACAAATTGCAAAGAGGGGAAAGAGCTTGATTATCTACTACATCTCAATAATCAGCCCTTCCTTCCCCAGATCGATGCTGATTTTAGCAAAAATAAAAGCACACACTTCAAGAATGCAGTTGTTGTGGAAAGTTTTCGCCATCCAACTGAAAAGATATTAAATAACATGTCTAAATGGTACATAGTGAAATAAAATGGAGCTTAGACGTTTCAAACAAGGGTCATTAGAAATAAATTGGCAATTGTTTGCAGGGAACACATGATTTTTATACCTGACTTTAAGAAATCGTATCGTCCATCAACATGCGTTTTCCTTAAGAATTGAAAATTATTGAATAGCTCAAAAAACTAAGTCTAAAAGTTTGAAGATGAAGTTTCCAAGCAGCCTCACGGAAAGTTATTTTAACAATGAACTATCATCATCAATAGTGCTCATGTTTGTAAGTATCGACGTTCTAAAATCGTATAAAGTTTCTGTTATTCTTAAATGATAGGCACAAGTTGAATCGTCTCTTACAGTGTAAGTCAAAAAATCTAAATATACATATTACGTACACTTGAAATCAGCCTGAAAAAACTAAAAATATGGCCAAATTCAAATTTATGTCATTTGTAGTATGAAAATTTAGCATTTGAAAATTATGTAAATGTCAATGATATGTTGTCTGTTTGAAGTCAAATTCACTTCATGATGTTTATATAAATGCTACTTGAAACCAGTGACTTTGTTTAAATGACATTTTTACGCATAAATATTTTGGGCTAGAAATATCTAGAAGTGGGATTTTTTAGTAATGTTAGATGTGTTGTTAAGTAACTGTGGATACACTGGTTGTACTTGCTAATGGAACTATCTGAACACATGTTTATCAAATAATGAGCATAAAATGAAGTTAAAACAAACAAATAATCATAAACTGTCATATTGTGACATATCAAGAAGATGAGACCATGAAGCTAGGTTTAAGCGATCAAGATCAACTACTAAGTAACCGACACTTCAGTGATGTCAAGGAACGAGGCGTGCTTGTAGACTGTAGCAGGCTAAGCTAGTTTTGGGTATTTAGTTGTAACAGATCGGTGAACATAAAGTGAAATGATTTTTAGTATTGAAAATTTTACAACATTTTACAATTATACTTCATCTTGTAGATAGTTCATCGTGATATCAAACCCGAAAATATTCTTATCAGTCGTAGTGGCGTCATCAAATTGTGTGATTTTGGTTTCGCACGTACACTTGCTGCACCCGGTGAAGTTTATACAGATTATGTGGCCACCAGATGGTACAGAGCACCAGAACTTCTTGTGGGAGATACAAAATATGGCAGGTTGGTTCTATTTCGTACATTCAAAGTTTTGCATAAAATTCGTTATCCCAGTTTGTGTTCGCAGAAAATAGCTGTGTCTTTAAATATGGTTGTAAAACAATTTTATGATTAAGATATACCAAAAGACAATTTTAATATTTTCTGAGGTTGCTGTTTGTAAGATTCAACATATTTGCCCAACATGAATATGGCACCAAATTTTGCTTTCAATTTACAGCGTTAAAAAATGGTTTAACGGAACTGTTCTTGAAGTTCTTCAGTAAACCATTCCAACAATAAGTTAAGACGTGTGAAGAACATTTAAGAAGAGTTTAACTATCCTTTGTTGAGCCTACATTTAACTAATATTTTTAAGCAATCCGGAATAAAGGCTGACACATGTCTCCCAACCACCAACGAGCTCAACGAGTTAATGATTAATAAAAACCAAGGAAAAGCGATTGAACTGATCATTTGTTTCTAGGAGTTTTGAAATTTGGACTGTCTTCAAAATTAACTAATACATTAAGTAGATCATATGAACTAATTGCACTTTCATGTGATCAAACAGGATCACTGGCCACTTAAGTATATAATCGAGGACCAAAATGTTATCATGAAAATCACAGCGGAATCAGTTTCATCAATATATTCTTTATCATATCAAGCTTTATAATCACTGGACGTTCGAATAGATCTCGAAAACAAAAGTACTCAAAATGTCAATGAAGTTTCAAACCTGACTATGAAAAGTTAGTTACTCAGACCATACATGTATGTCGACTGAGATGGTTGAAATATTTGTTACTGACTGTTAGTTACTTCTTACATCAACACAAAGAGTAGAACGTTACAGGAGTCAGGTTTAAGAAATTCGTGGGAAGCCAAACCAGTTCATGGCAATAGTCTACAAATTATTGGTCTGATCCATGGCCAACGTCAAATATTTAGTTGGAGTCCTCGTGGTTATCTAGACCAATAACAGAAGTATGAGGTGACATGTCCTTAAATCAAAGACGGTGGGGACGGTGCTTTTTTAAGGGTTCGTATAAATTCTTGATTTGGATTTCTCTCTTTCCCTTAATCCATTTTAATAATATTTCCAGGCCGTTGGACATTGCTTCATAGGTCATGCTTGACTGAAAGTGGCTAAAATGTTTTAAATGATCTTGGGTTCGGTCGCAGAAGAATGATGGATCTAAGGAGTGTCTGTGAATCTTTTGAAAATTAAAGGTTTTATGAACAATGCGTATATCTGATGATCTGGGAAAGCTGAACTAACGACATCATTGTTTTATATTGATTAGCGCATAAGATTAACATTGATGAGTTAGACATTCAGCATAAATTGACAATGCAGTTCAACTTTTTATTATTTATTTATGATATGTATAGTATATCTCAGAAAACCGTTGGTAAAATTATAGGGTAGCTTGAAGTAAAACATATATTGCTGAAATCTCTCTCCACTAATCAAGTGTCGTGGCTCTACAGTTGATCTTTTTTATCAATAAAAATTTGTTCACTTTTGAAAAATACCAATGAACTCAAGATCTGCGGTTTAAATATCAAGAAGGTAAAAAAAGAAAGTTGTTAGACCAACGAAGATATTCATTACACACAAAGTAAATAATGAACCTTATACTACTAGTATGATATATTTATTTACCAAAAACTATAGAAGTTAATGGTTAACTAGACAATTTGTAACATAATCCATTATTTATTTGATTGTTTTCTACATATTAGTTCTTTAAACACTTATCTTTGTAAATGTTTGTAGTTTCTGTCAACAATTTCTATCCGCTTGCTAGTAATAGTACTATTTCGGTGAAAAAAGTAACTCACATCAATATATACGTTAAATAAATTAGATTGAAGAACGTCAATGGGAACTTAGGTCTTCTAGATAAGGGTTTATGTATATGATTTTGCCTATAAACGTCACCATATTCTGCAATTTATTTTTCACTGATCGTTTACTCTTTAGATTTTGGGAATTGTAAATACAAAGACCATATTTGTTTTAAATTCAATAGTAAAACTGAACAAGTTATTTTTTCTGGTTTATTAAAGTAAATGCCTTGATTACATTAGTTTGTTGCAGGAAAATTGTTACATATTTACCCTAAGTTAAAATTTTTCTTCCTTAAAACTATCAATATTTGTTGAGTTGACAGAATTTCATGTTTATACATGTACCTATCTAGTATTGGTAGTACATTTTACTGTGCTTAGAAGGTTGAAAATGAACAGAAACGTTTATTATTAAACACAGAAAAACAGTATAATACTTGAGCTGTTAAAATATTATCAGTGGTGTTATTATTTGATTAATCTGTGCCTTTTTCGCCTGACACTGAACAAGTTTTTTGAACATCATAATCTTTGTTGCATGAATAAAGCTCTTTACTACATACATTATCAATAATAAGAACGCTACTTATTATTATCATTATTATTATTGTATTTCATTAGACCAATTGACATTTGGGCTATCGGTTGTCTTGCCTCAGAAATGTTGACAGGTGATCCTTTATTCCCTGGTGATTCTGATATTGATCAATTGCATAGAATAGTGCGTTGTCTTGGTAAGTTTAATTTATTCATTAATTAATCAGTAAATGTAATAATCTCGTTTATAAAGTACACTCTGGTTGTATTTGATATTTCCGGGACTTGTTAAAAAGTTTTTATCATTTTATGTTTGTTTGCTTACTAAAATCAAAATATAAATAATTATTATCTAGTTTCTGGATAGTTTCCACTAGCTTGGAGTTGATATACGTTTTTATGATTATTTTGTTCACCATTATCATTTGATATTTTGAATAATATATCTATTGAGGAAAACTTTTATTACTAGTTCTCTTTAAAGCTGTTTCACTTTGATCGCTTCGATCATAGAAGTTTTACTCATGAAGGAAATCAAACCATTTGGCTTCTATTATTCCTCTAAATGTATTTAAACAACCTTTTGTCAAACAGTTTACACTGAAATCTAAAAATGGATAAACTTAACGAAAGCCGCATTTCAATAAGTAGTTTTTTTAGTTTCACTATAAATAGATCTGTAGCTGTTTGAAGTGAGTCTCTGTTAGCAGTTTGATATTTTGTGTGAAAGTAATAAATTAATTGAAGATTCTCAACAAATGCTCTCTAATATGACAAAATATAGCCCTATAAATTAAACTTCAAACCCATAGGTAAACAGGTGGGTTGTCGACTATATTTTCTACATGTTTGTCTTACCTATTATATGTATAGTAGCTGGATTAATAGCCACAGTTTATTACACAAGTTTCTTCTTAGAGAGTAGATCTTAGTGGAGAGAGTAGCGATGAAACCAGTTTGTTGGCCAACTTTTGGAATTTAGCTTAATGATCTACGAAAACATAGTAGCCCTGAAGTGGGTGGTTCGAACACTGGCTTAATCTGTGACTTCTTTCACGTTCAGTCATCATCATTGTGTACAGACCATTATCTGTTGATAAACAAAATATATGCCCCATCCTTCTACTAGATGTGTCAACCACAGTTTCTCGATATTCCTCCTTACAATATTCATTTCCCTACAAGTGAGAGTTTACTAAAGGCTAAATACGAAACCTTTGCAAAAACAGTGGTCACAAATTTATGAGTAGAAATCAATGGTGGCTAGCAAAGGAATCAATCTTGCGCGTTTCGCCCCATTTGGAACTCGTCAGCCGGGTATACTTGAATCCCAGAGCCGATGCACCTCCGGGATTCAAAGCAATCACCATTCGCTTCAGACCACACAGCGTTATCCTTTAGCTAATGGTATGTGATATGGGATGAATTTTAATTCATTTGTATTGATTATTCGAATCCTGTCATTGACTCTTAAAACTGTAATTGGTCAGCCTGGTTTTACATATGTCCATCCTGTGCTACTGCCTTGATACTGTCAGTAAGTCACAAGCATTGTAAACAGAAATGAACGGTAGCTCGCAATTTGACCCCGGACGTTTGTCGCGGCTGTTTACATTAACTCAGTATGGTCTTTTGGCAGATGAAGTAAAGTATAATCGTCTGATGAAATACAGAGTGGGAATTCCCGACTGTGTTTGACGTTTGCACTCACCAACTTATAAATGATATCGAAAAAATACGCATTGTTGAATAAGAGTTCACTTTTCGATCAATAGCGGTTGATCCCATACATTAAAAAAATTGTTTGCATAATCTAGCTCTTCTATCGTATCCAAATTTTATGTGGTCTTGTTAACCAATACTTATTCTTGAAATTAATTTTAATTTCAATTAGTCTGAACAACCTAAATTAGAAAAAAAGCTTTTCATAATGTAGGTTTATACGTATTTTTTAAGCCTAAACCGAAACAATTAATAAGACTAGTCAATTATAAAGGTTATTATTGATCAGCACTGTGAATAAAGTAGCCACAAATATAAGAATTACTTTATAGTGCATAAGAATGAAAATCGATTTATTTCTTAACTTTGTTAAATTATATAATTATTACTGATATAATACAAGTCTATCTCGAACTTAAATCTGTCAACCCTTGATTTCCTACATAAACTTTAGCAGAAGTTTAAAGCTTTTGTTTTATGTTATTCAAATAGATATCTGTTAGTTTTGTATTAAATAGAGAAAAAATAGACACGAAAATAAAAGTATAGTCAATCAAATATTAGTATCTCAAATATTAAATATGATACTTGTTTATAGGCGATCTTAGTCATAGTGATTATGATCTGTAATCAGTATAATAACTAATTGGTTGGTAAGCTCGAGACGAAAACAATATAATTTAATCTAAGTGAGCTATTTTCAAAAATGCAACATTCATTCCATTTACATTAATTAGTAGTATGAACTGTATACAGATAAGAGGTTACAAAGCTGGTTTTAGCCAATGACGTCAATTTAGTCAGTAAAGGTTTTTTGAATGTATTACTTTGATCACTTAACTTTGTCACGTATTGATTTTGTTTTAGGATATCCTTGGTTCTCTATATTATCCAGACAATATGCTTCTATTAAACGGTAGCTCTTCAATGAAACTGATTATCTAAAAAAGACTTAGACGAATTTTTAGAATATTTAGTATTAGTTTTCAACATACAAATTACTATTAAATTATTTTGTACAGAAATTTAATTCAGTGATCAGTAATTTATTGTTTGGAATTGTTAAATTACTGCATTAACATCAAGCGACATATATGGTATAATAGGTTTATCAACGGTGATATCTTAGCGTATATACAAAGTCAGAGTATGTGATGTAAGTTAGTTGCCTGAATACTGAACAACGCTGAGAATTAGGATACAGCTGTGGAACATAGTTATTGAGAAGGTAAGCCAGAAATATATGATAATTAGTTCGTTAAAATGCCCATCAGTTTTGTGTGTGCTACTTATAGTGACATAAGTAGTATATAATGTTAGTTGTGAACAGAAGGTCTGGCAGCAGAGAGACAAGAGGATCGAACAGTAAAGAATGGAAAAAGTATGCAATTTGCATGAAAAGGCAAGAACAATGAAGTCTGAGTGATTTTGAGATAATTGATGGACATTTTGCAAATTAAGCATTTACTTTATGATTGTTAGATTGTATTAAGAGGTCCTGTAATTTTGTGTTAAATACATTCGATTATTCCTACTGGTGTCCTTGTTCACTAGTTTCAGTAATATTCATGATCTATTAGATTTTTAAATCGAGGCGTATTAATGGATGGGCTCGTTAGCATATTATGCTAAACGAAATAAAAGTGAGCTATAAGAATATTTATAACCAAATCAAGACAGCCTGATCACTCATTAGATCAATTAATGATGATTTAAAACATACAGAAATCGGTGGACTACTTAGATTGGTGCTCACTTGGTTACATAAAGCAATGATGAGAATATTTATCTCACACGGCTCAAAATTGGTTGCAGTAAATTAAATCCATTTGTTCTTCAAGTTACTTTAATTACCGAACTGTTTTCACTGGTTTAGTCCCTTTTCACATCTTTTAGCCTTTCTTTAGATAATTTTAGTTCAACTGTTCGGATATGTGTCATTAGAAAATGGGACTGTGTAAACTTATCTACTAATTTTCAGATTTCGAAGTACCGGAAAAAATCATCTAATAGTTAAAATCTTTTAACGAGTCCCAGCCGTTTTGCTTTGGATTACATAACAGATATGCCAAAATTTCAACATGGTTTTTTGTCAATGTAAAAGCGCACATTCCCAATGAATAACTACTATCTTCAATGTGTCTAGAGATAAGCTACTGAAATTTAAAAAGTTGTTTGTTATTCTCAACTTGAGATTTAAGGATACTATAAATCTAAGGATTTTCTACCCAAACTGAGGGTAAATAACTGTTAAGGAACTGTACACATTTTTCAAACCTATATGACATTTCTAATCATTTCTACAGTTGATGTGCAGAAAATAAATGGCCGCTAGATTAGAAGTCTGTAGTATATTTTATCTAGAGCTTCAACCAGTTTGATTAAGAATTGTCCGCAAGTTCCAAAATAAAATACTATTTTCCTGCTGGTGCTAATGGTATCCAGTTTTGAAATGTCATTCGAATTTCAACAAACTAATGAGAAATAAGATAAGTTTGGTTATATTTTTCAATCAGAAATAAGGTAATTTTCGAACTATGGAAGAGTTGACAAAGCTGTTCTTCGCTCTAATCTGGTTTGTAGTATGCAACTTGTTCGTGAAATTGCCTAAGCTTAAATCATCCCACTTAAAACCGCTACACGAAAATAATGGATTTCGTGTGCTCAAAAATATTTTTTCCCTATTTTCTATCCAGAAGCAAACTTCTGACGGTCACAGCAAAAAACGCAAATGGAAGATGAGACTGTGAAATTAACTTAACCACTGATTATCATAACTATATAACAAAACTATATGAAAAGTTTAAATGTGTTTCAATAAAAAAGTAATTTCGGATGAATATTTTAAGCATAAAGTGTTATGACATTATAAAGAAGTTGGACCTCTGAATTTATAAATTGGCTTATAATTTGACTTATGTGTCTATACTGATAATTGTAAACTTTTCTAAAACATAAAATTGCAGTCTGGTGGAACCGTTTGTCATACTTTTCTCACCATTCTGGGTATGTGAAAAACCGAAGATTCACAAACTAGGATAAAAAACTGTCAGTAGTTTTCACTTTTTCAATGGTTGACCAGCTGAATTATGTATATTATTCAGAGTCACAATGAAGGCTCAACAATTAAACTGCCCAGCTCTAGAAACTCAACACCTAAAAAGTATTTCAGTATGTTAAACAAATAAAATTTCATTTCTTGTTCACTCTGTCTAACCTGTGTCCAAAAAATAATTTAAATTATAATTAAAATTTGTTTAACGGTAAAAATTATGTTTGTAAATATTGTATATCTACCTAGTAACAAGAATATCTCTTAATTATTTCTGTTTAGAATAGGTTGCTGCATTAATCTCTTCAACAATGTTTATACATTAAAGTGGCTGTTGAATAATTTCATGTAATACTGAGTGCATCAGAAGTCACTTAAATACGATGAACGAACAATTGTTCATAATTCAGTTTCACGTAAAAG